GGATAAAATAAGAGGATTATTTTTTCCATATTTGACACTATTAAATAAACGAAATTGCTGGTTATTGGAGTATACATTTATATCAATTGCTGTCACCCATTCATTTGTTTTATTTTGTACCAGTAAATATGCTATATCAGCGATTGAAATATAAGGAATTGAAGTTTGACATGAAGTACAATGTTTTCGTAATATATTTATATGTGGTACTAAGATCTGAATTAAGTTTGATATAGTACATGACCCTAATGGTGAAGTGATATTGAACATGGAGCATTTATGTTGAACAACTGATAATAATACAAAATGAATCATTGCTTTGATAAAAATTGCAAGTGTAGATACATTTTCAAATATAGCTGATGGTTTTGCATGTATAAAATGATACGATATCTTCTCGTTTGTTGATCTAAAAATAATACTATTTTTTGACAAGTTTTGAAGAAAACTATGATTTACGCTTCTAAAACTAGAAATCGTTTGAAAATGTTCTCAGTATAATTTTCTATTGTATTAATAGTATCATCTGGAATATTTAGGAAATAATATAGAATTTTAAGAAAGCACATAGGACCAATATGATGAATTTGTATATCTAAATTATTATGAATCATGTATTCGAAATCGATATATATTTTAACAGAATTTTTTGGAGAAATACATTCGTATAATGCTCGATCTATTACAGGACAATTTTCAAATAATTTTATTAATTCTTCAATTGTAAGATAGCAAAATTGCCGAGATCTATTTTCTTTTTCAATACTTATAAATATATTATTTATTTTGTTGTTTTGTTCCAATATTTGATTATTCAAGTCAGCTATACGATAAGTTATAATTTTATTTGGAAAAAGATGTTTGATCAATTTCTGAAGAAAGTTCATAATATATTTATCATCAATATTTAATAGATAAATTCTTAAGTATATTTTAGTTTTTAATTTCAAGTGAAAATATGATTTGGGCGCTTAACTATTTCTAGGTATTTATATTTTTTTTTATATAATTAGCATCTTAGAAACGAATTTTATTAAAGCATATTCCATTAAATTAAAAAAAATTCAGATACATGTCGGATCTACGAGAAAAAAATTACTTTTGACGAAAAAAGCGCCTAGTAATATTGATTGAGCATGTTTTTATTATTTCATTCCTAAAATAGTATCAAATAATATGTTATTGAAAGAATATGAAATTCATTTTATGTAAAATAGGCAATTTAATTTCAATTAAAATTTATAACAATTGAATAAAACAGTCAATTGTACTATGTTTATATTATTTTAAATTAATTTAAAAAAAAATTGTATTATGTTATTAGAGATTCTAAATTAATTTTATTTATGCTATTTAAATATAATTAATGGAATTCATTTAATCAATTTAAAACAAAACAAAAAAAATTTAATTGCTTTTTTACTAGATTAATGTTCAAAAATACCATTTAAAAGTTGATGAAATATATTGTATTATTTTATTTGTATTGTACAGAAGATAATGGTTATTAAACAATAATACATTTTAGGTATTGGAAGTTCATTCAAACAATGGACATATACGTATTGGGCATACCAACAAGTGTACGTGAACCTAAATATTTGGAAAAGTTTAGGTATGATTCAAAAAAAATGAGCTTAATTCAGTTTACCATTAAACCAATCAATTTTAATATTTTTTAGTTTTAATTCTTTGTTAATCATACTTGTTGGACTTTTTTTCGCCTAATAAAAGATAATTAAATAAAATATTTATTTATATAGTAAAACCTGTTCATTCCATAAGGTTAACTTCATGTGAACCTGATCTTGAGAAACATGAACTTCACGTCGAGTCCATGGATTACCATTTGTAATGCCTGTAGTTGTTCCATAATCTCTTAAAACCTTGGCGTTAACATCTATATAAAATAATGAATGAGATAACTTATTTATATTTTTCAATGAATATCAATTTATGAATACAAACCAATTATTGAATTCAACGGTAAATTTTCAACTTCATTTAAATGAGTAAAATTATAAGTCAAATGATGTTTGTATGCCATTGTAATTTCACGTGTTTTAGTTGTTTTATTTACAATTAATTGATAATCATGAGGTAATTTTTTATAATTACTATCAACTGTTTTGATTGATAAACCATTAAATTCATATGACTACAATTATATAAAAAATAGAATGTTTTATTTAAACGTTTTATTACTTTTCCTTCAAATAATTTATTCGGTAATATATACGAATCCAAATTAAAAGCTACAAGATTAATTGCAGCTGTATCATCGACTAAGTCCCATGTTGATATTTCACCTTCGCCATTTGAATTAATATATGTTCGTTTTGGATGTGTACAGCTAATAATTGCTTGTAATTTCCATCTATATTATATGTTGTACAAGGAAGAAATTATAGATATAATTTACCATGTCAATTAAATAAAGAATAAAATATGCAAATGAAATTTTAATATAACATAAATTATTTGATATTAACAAAAAAAAAGAAAGCAAACGAAGTATCGGTCAAATTAGATCAATAAAATTAAGATCGTCAAAAATATTAGACGTTAACACAATACATCGATCAACAAATCGATAACTTACGGAAAATCAATATCGGTATTAATTTGATTAATTTTTATTAGTTTTGGTTCATTGTCTATAATATATTTTAAAATTAAATCATTAGGTTATAAAAGAAAAATTTTGAAACATTCAATTTTTGAAGAGTTAATAAATGTGAATCTATTTCTGTTTAATTTTGTAACTAAGAATGAGAACTTTAGTAATATAAATATCGCTATGCGATTATTTTAAATTTAAATAAAAAAAAGTGATTAGAAACATCAAATAAAAGTAAATCTTTTTTTTATACTACATACTTGTTTGTATGTTTAATATTTCGATAATATCTTCAGTTGATTCATGATTTTCATTACATTGAGAAAGTTGATTATTTGGAGTATTATTATTTTCAGAAGTATTTTTATTAACAACAACATTGTTGTGATCATTATTACATGATGTAGAATTGTTTAAGCTTTGTTCGACTGATGTATTTAATGTTGATTGTAAGCTACCAAAAAAAATCGTATATGAGTTAGTTAAATTGACGACCTTACGTTTCATTTGAATTATTATTCATCAATTGTTCATACATATGAATTACAGAATGATCAATATCCATTTTAATCTGAAATGAAAAAAAAAGTTGCATATTGTTTTAAGTATTTAACTTTAATTGTCAAATATCCAAATGAATAGAACTGTTAATTAAAAAATGATAGAGAGAAAAATTATCATATTAATCAGAAGTTCAAGAAGAAGAAGATTGATTTGTTGATGAAGGTTCATCTGTTTGTCCAGAAGGTATTAATATAGTTTCATTTGTATGTTGATGTGTTGTTGATGAAGATGTATTTGGTGCATGTTCAATTTTTTTCTTTTTTGTAAATACGATTGCTTTTGGACCTATCGTATTGTTTGTTTCTTCTATTTTACCTCTGCCTTCTTCCTCCATTTGTCGAAGTATCAATAAATATTGATCTTTGCTTATTTTTCTTTTTAGATTTGCTGGTAGTGATGATAAAAGAAGTCGATCAGATGGATGATTTTCAATATATTTCTTTATATGCATTACTTCATTTTCTGGTACATTCATACTATCTATAAAATCAAATTATGATCATGATGATCTAAATATTATATGAAGACTTTTCTGTTATTAGCAAAATAAAAATTTTCTTTCTTATAAAATACTTATAGTTTTTGTTTTAGTACTTTATATTTAATTAATAAAAATATTGATTATTAACCGATATGAAAGCAAATGAAACGTATTTATCTTACATTTTTTATTCAATAAAATATGATCGGTTATTGGATCATAGCCAGCTAATATTTTAATTTGATTAAGATAAAATTTTGTTAATAATGAAGCTCGAAAACAAGTATCATAATCAATTAAATGATCATCTTCGTTTAGTTCTTGTTCTGTACAAATTATTTTGAATTTATCATCAAGAACGCCAAATGATTTAATATGTTGAACCATATTGAATAATCGACAAGAACATATTTTAAGAATGTGAAGAACGAGCGATAAACGTTCAACTCGTTCCATTGATTTTTGATAACAACTAATTATACAGAAACTTAATCAATTGATGCAATAAATAAATAAATAGGCTACCTTGCTAAAAAATCATCTTCATTCGATTTGTCGGATGACAGTATATCATAATCATAAATCACATTTTTAATAAATTTTTTTGCTATATAAAATAAAAAATAATCTATCATTTATGAAAATAATAAAATTACCTTCGTCGTTATAGATGTATTCTTCTGTGTTACGATGTAGTTTTTTAGTTAAATAAAACAAATGACCGAGTTTTGGTATTTTTTTATTTGGTTCAATTATTTCTTGGTTAGGGCGATGCTTATATGCAACAGCAATCAAAAACCGATTAAATAAACCATCATCATTTTGATCTTTCTGATCTTGAGATTTTAAAGCAATACCTAATAAATCGAATTATAAAAAGACATATTTATTTTTTTTTAAATAGTTTACCTGTTAAACATTCAATTGTTCGTTTTGGATGCCCAGCTGCTATAATATTTAAACGTGGTTTAATCATGACATTATGTCTACTAACGAGTTGTCGACGAACAATACCAGTTGGACTATAAAACTCACACATTAAACCACGATCATATGCAGTTCGATCAACACGTGTGCTTCCGAAAATACCAAAGAAAACAGATAATTCATCCCATAACTAGAACAATTTTATTTATTATATTTAAGTAATACAAAAGATATCTAACTTGTAATAAATTCGGTTGTTGTTCCAATTCACAACATAACGATTCCATATTGACTGATGCATTGATAGATGACTTTTTGACAGGTGTACCATCTAATGCTTCTACAGCTTCACAAGCTTCTTTTACTATTCTTATAGATGCACTTTTTTTAGAACCTAAAAAAGAAATTATAAATGATAATAACAATAACTATTCATAATATTTTGGTAATCGTCTATTTTTCTACTACTAAAAAAGTATGTAATAAAATTATGAAATATATTTTACTTAAATATTTTATCAAGTTTTATATTTTAACTATTTTCAATATTTAAAAAACATACCACTTCCTCCACATAAAATACCGAAAAGAATTAATGGTGTATTATAAGCTTGAGCACCTTTTAATGAAGCTCCCATTGTCCAATGACAAAGGGCAATAATTGTTGTTAAAAAGATATAATCTATTGAAACATTAGTTGTTTGAGCAATTTCATTTATTATTAGAAATGAATATTCATCCAAAATAAGTCGTAGATCTAATTTTTCAACAATACATTGTTTCATTCTACGAATACGTTCACATTTTTCCATACTTCTTTACAATCAACAACATAAAATACATATAAAAACAAAGATATAAATAATTGCTTACCTAAATCAAATAACGAAGAACAAAATCTAAACAACCAGAAAGCAGCAATGAATAATTAGATTGTTCTCTTAGCTATATAAAACGTTCTCATCTAATTATCGCCACTTCATAATTTAAATACGAGCGAAAATAAATTAATTATACAATAAATTATGAGAACGAAAGATAAGCCAATATTTAAATAAATACGATATTTTCTTCTTGTTATTTCTATATAATCATAACATTAAAAACGAATGTAATTTCATCTATTAAATAATAAAGTACATAAAACTAAGAAAAAATAGAATCTTATTAATAGAAGGAAAAGTTTGTTCCAAAAACAAAAAAAACAATAATATATTATAAAAGAACTGGATATTATATTTTTCATTTCATCATCCAGTTAACATTAGAATTTATCTGATTATATCACCTCAAAGGTAAAAACAAGAATTGAAAAAAAATTATATTTGAAAGCGCCATTGATTAATTGATTTTGTGTATGATTATAAACACGTTCTTTTGGAACTATTCGTACGTATTTTTTATTTCATGAGCTATTCAATTTATATAAATCTATCATACAAATTATTACGCTTTAGACAAAAAAAATCATTGATTTTGGTAAACACAATTACGTAAATTAGAATCTATTTATCTATTAATAATATAACAAATTGAAGCTGTATATCTATTTTAAACAATTTTAAACAAATACTTGTTCAATTCTTTTTTTAAATATAATACAATATGTCGCATATAAATATAAATCAATCACGTAAGCTTAATTTTAAGCATTAACTTGCTCTTTTCATAAAGTTATTTTCTTGTCAACATATATTTGATAATTTATGTTTCTCATATCTCATAATGATATTGTAGTTAAACAATTATTTCTAAATATTTTCCCTTTAATTTTTTTCTTAAGATTGCGTATAGAGGGAAAATATAATTGTATTTTATTATTTAATTTTAGAATTAAATGATGAAAGTATATCATATATTAAATCTACTCATGAAAACAATCAGTTAATTTACCATGGAGCACGATTTTGTGTAAAACAAAAAAATTTAAGTTCAATTTTATGGAGATGTGTTAAAGGAAACTGTCCTGCTTCTATTTCAATTTCAAATAATAATATTGTTTTAAGAAAAAATGAAAATCATAATCATCTTATTGATTCGAATGAAATTAAAGTTTTAGAACTTCGACATAAATTAAAAAAAGATGCACAAAGCAGTTCAGAACCAATTGATAAAATAGTAGAATTAGGATACTCAAATATGGTTACTACACAAAAAATAAATGATTCAATTGTAAAATTTCCTACAATGAAAACATTAAAAAATACTGTAAGTCGACAACGTCGAAAAATCAGACCACCTTTACCAAAATCACTCGATAATTTACCTCATCCACTTCCACCATTATATACAATAACTAAAAAGAATTTGAACTTTCTTTTATATGATGGAATATTAGGTCAAAAAAGAGGCTTAATATTTGCATCGCAAAATGATATTGAGTACTTAGCATACCAAAAATTTTGGTATGGTGACGGTACCTTTTACACATCACCTTCCATATTTTATCAAATTTACAGTATTCACACTTTCGATGAAGGACTATCAACTCCATGTGTATTCGCACTTCTACCAGATAAATTTGAAACAACATATTTTGATTTATTTTCTATATTGATAAAAAAAATAATGGAAATATCCAATATTATTCGACTTGAATGTATTACTATAGATTACGAACTGGCTGTTAAAAATGTATTTTGCAAACATTTTCCACATGTTGAAGTAAGAAAAAAAAGTGAAATATTTGATTTATAAATATAGACAGAGATTTCATGAAAAAAAGTACACATATATATATATTAAAAGCCTTTATATTTTTGAAATTTCGCCAACTAAAAAAAAAGTATAAATTGAAAAACGGAAATAATATAGTTTTTAGAATTCTTTTCTAATTTCTTTTTCAAAAATTTATATAGGTAAAAGGATGCCTGTTCCATTATGGACAGGCATTGTTTCGGAAATTTGTGAGCTTAAATTTAACAACACCATTTAAAGAAGATGAATCTTTACGTCTATGGTTTCGAAGTTTTGCTGCAATTGCACTCTTACCAGAAACAGATATGGATGAAGCAATTGAATATTTACGTTCAATAAAACCATTATTATATGAAAAAGAAATTGATTCATTTTTGGAATATCATAATAACACTTATGGCATTAATAGCAGATTTCCACCAAAAATGTACAACCATTATCGTAATCTTAAACCACGTACTATAAATTATCTCGAAGGTCGCCATAATCGTTGGAAAAAAAGATCTACGAAATCTCATCATGATATTTATATTTGCATCGATATGTTTAAAATCGATCAACTATTAGCTGCAGATGAAAGAGAACGACATGAAGCAGGAGCAGCTCCACCAAAACGTCGAAAAAATACTCGAATAGCAGAAGAATCGTTAACTCGATTATGGGATAAATTAGAAAAAGATCAGATTACTAAAGAAAAATTTTTAAAAGGCGCTGGACTTCGTTATTTTCAATATTTAGAAATTGAATAAATAATAAATTAATTATATATCAAAAAGTAGAATTTTTAATATCGATTCAAAATATTTTAAGTTGAGAATTTCAGCATTTCATTTATGAATTTGATTATCAAAAACTGATACAAAAAATCTTGATTGACTTCAATAATCTTTAAAGACTTACATTGTATTGAAAGTATCTGAGAAATTGTTCGTTATACTAAATAAACGTATATGAATATTCGTATAGTTGGATTGGATTTAACTTATGTTTACTTTGTTTTAAAAAAAATTCGAGCTGATTATTATGTTTATAATAAATCATGACAATATATTGCTCAAATTATTCATTCATATAAACAATTATATTAGTTAAAAGCAATAATTTGTAGTTTCAATATTTTAGCTTAGAAAAGAAATATTTTAAATAATAAAAATAAAACATATTATTTATAATAAAAGTAACTCCAATCGTATATATGATAAAATAAATAATTTTTTTTCGACAAGATTACTTAGATATAAACCTTGATAAATCTATATGATCAGAATTTTTATTAAGTGCTTCCATTTCATAATAGCGTTTTTGATTTGTACATGTTATCTCAATATTTTTATTATTTAACAAGAAAGATTATTTATTGATCTGCGCCTTATTTTTAGCTATAAATGACTAAGTTTTGTCATGCAATGTTCTTCACATGAAACTGTTCATTTTATTATTTTGTTTACTATATATAATATCAATTTATGTTTAAAAATAAATGATTGATATCTTTTTGATCGACAAAATCCTAAATGGCAATAAAAACTATATGTCCATATCATACGAGATACATTAATCGTTTTTTTTATATTGAACTTCTCTAATCAATGAGATAAAGTAATTTCTTTTATTGGCATTTGTCAATTTTCGGCAATGCTTCAATAAACTCTATATACAAATCAAAAATTATTAAGGTTTTCTTTTATTTTATTCAATAAAAGTCTACTTTAAAGAATATATTTTGTAAAGAAAACATAATCCAGCAGAACTTACTCATTTTTTTTTTGTAAAACATGTAAATTTATCATGTGACTCATTTTTTTTGGTATCATATGTAATCATATGAATTGATATGATTTTTAAAATAAAACGGAAATATTATTCCTTATCTGATATGGATAATTTTAATATATTTTTATACTTAGAATATAAAATACAAAATCATTACAGTTTTCTTTTAAATATTTTATATAATTATAATGCATTCAAACGAAAGGAAAAATAGACGAACAGAAAGATGTCGATGTGATAGTATAGAAATAGATCTATTTTTTTTCTATTGATCGTAGATAATAATTCAATAGCCAAATATTAAACTCCAATTGTTATAAGAATATAATATAGCATAAAAATGATCATATTCAAAAAAAATTTCCTATAAATATCATATAATCAGAAAAAAAATTTAACAAATACGATACATAATTCTTCTTCGCGAATTATTTATGAACGTAATAAGAGCAAGGGGGGTCGAAAAAAAAAGATTCCTTTTAAGTTAATGATTGAATATATTAATTAAAGTTTGTTTCATGTAAACAATGCGCGCCTTGTAAAAATTGTTTACGGCAGTAAATCGCACGGCAGTAAATCCAGGACACCTTATAAATCATAACAGAACAGAAAAAAAATAAAAAAAGCTTTTTTACAGTCCTCATATATATGAACCAATAAAAACAAAGAATGAACATAAAGATAACAAACGTTATAACGGCCAAGTCTTTATCTCATATAAGCATGAACAAGCTTATTTAAATAATTATGTATCGATTAATGATGATATGTTGATTCTTCTTAAATATATTAATCATGATTTTTTCGACGAACGAAATATTTTGCAATTGTAAAAATGAAATTTTTTTATTACAACGGTGAGAATCAAGAAACTTGAATTAGAAATTTTTATGAAATAATTTTCCAATAATTATATTTGTTTTTTAGAAATTTACTGAAGTTTACTTGCATCAATTTTCATACTAGAAGAAATGATCAATTCGATTAACATGTACATTATCAATCTATGCTAATATATCGAATTGTTGAAATAAACTACGCATTTTTAGACATGTATGTCATTTGTTTTAAAATAATTAGTCACTGTTGTTTATTCGTTTTAGTTTAGTTTTGTTCCTGCACATTATTAATTTCAGATATGAACAATAAATTTTGTTCGAAAAGTACGACTCAACGAACAAGAAAATGTATGCGCCAATACCGGTTGGCACGCAAGAAAAGCGAAGTATTGAGGATGCTTAGAAATAATGAACATAAAGACGAAGATGATGATTTCATGGACATCTCTAATTCAATGGATCCAGTAGCTGGTGATATTTCAGATAGCGATGCCGTTGTTACTAATGATCCAGCCATTTCATCATCATCATCATCATCATCATCATCGTTGACATCATCGTCTGATGCTGAATTATATGATGAAGCTGATTCAAATTTATTTTTATTATTTTTTATCTTGTATTTCGTGTACTTCTGAATGCTTTGTGTTCATACAGATGATTGTGAATATAAAAATACTTGTTATGGTGTTTATATTTTATTATGTTTTTTTTCTAAAGGTTGTAATTGTATTTAATGTTCACGTGTGTTATGTATGTTCATGTAGATCTTAAATTTAAATATATTAGTACAAGATTTGAAGATCTTGCAGAGGTAAAACGAAAATACTATTCATTACAAGATCTTATGCTCAAGATTTCGAATATCTGTTACCAAGATCTTAACAAGCTATATATAAGATATGAACAACCTGTACATAAGATCTTAACAATCTGTACCTAAGATCTAGTCACAGATCTTGTGTACAAGATAATCAAATTATCTGTACCTATTTTTTCAAGATCTGTTCACTTATCTGTTCCTAAGATCTTTGCCAAGATCTTGCTTATAAGATGTTCGACTAGGGTGGTGATCATTCCTGCAGTCTATCGAGAAATCGAATGGCATCAGAATTCCACTTGGCCACGTTGGTTACGCGAAGGACTTGATTTATTTAATACGAATCCATCTCGAGCGTACGATGTTTATTTATATCAGCGATTGGATCCTGATTCGAAACCTCCTTTCAACTGGCCCTATTGTCGAAATGTTCATGAAGAAGCTGGCTTGTATTTAAAGTTCATTTTTGATTTTTATCATGATTTACCCGATCGAATGTTATTTATTCATGCTAAACCCGAACGACATTCGCTTTCTCCGATCGAAGCAGCTCAATGCATTCGTGATGATGTTTTTTATACTAGTGTCAATAACGTCTGGTTTGGCAATCGACCTTGGATTGCTGGATCTCCCGATCCCACTGATAATCTCACATTGATGTATAAATGTGCACGACATCTCCTAGGTTTATTTGGTTTTGATGGCGAAGCTCAATTGAATCCAGACAATCACGTCCCAAAAGATCAGAGTATTTATTCGACGATGTGTTGTGCCCAGTTCTATGTGAGAAAAGAACGTATTCGTCATTATACCTATCAACAATGGTCAGCGATCTATAATGCAAGTCTTCAGCCATATTGTACAACTATGCTTGACCGAGAAATTCCCGGAACGTTCGGAGTGAGATCGTTTGGAAGTGCAATGGAATTTTTGTGGCATATTATTCTCGGACTGGAATCGGCAAATATGCCCCCGCCAAAAAAGAAAACTAATACTGATCTATGTCATCTATTTCGGTCAGGATGCTTTGGATCACTATGTAATGCAGTCGTCAGTGGATTTCTAAAGTAACTCATTTGAGTGAAATTCTTTTCTTAAGACTGACTGTACATGGGGAGATTTTCTACGACTCTCACATCGACATTGCTCCATTTTCGCCTTTTGAATCTTTTCAAAATTCATTAAATAAATGACGAGGTTTACATATTGATCTCGTGAAACGATTGTTAGCTTGCCATTGGAAAGAATCGCTAAGGACATTAAATATCGGATCGAAAATTCTTGTTTATCCATGCCTTTGAACACAAGAGCGTTTTCTCCTAAAACATAGCTCTCTCTTGATCTTGTATGTGTGAATACTTTACTGAAATGATATAAAAACTGATGAGATTCGAATTTTGAAGTTTCGAAGAGCTTGAATTGAAATTTCTTTAAGATATCCAATCATTGACTCGTGACAGACAACTTGAGAAACATAATCATTAGTTTACATCTGATTGTGCATTTAAGCGAGAGTACCAAGTTTTCCTTAATTTTCGATTTTATCGGTGATCCTGTAAGAAAAGTTATCTGATATAATCATTTGTATCATTTGTCGATTCTTTCAGAGAAAACTGAGCCCAATGATATACTCTGATACATCTTTATCGGAACGAAAGAAATTTTCTAAAAAAATGCTTAGAGAGTATTTAGCAAGCAAATCATTCGAGAAGAGATAACAACCAACTTTGACTGAATGGCGTGTTTTGCATATTTAATGGGATGAATAACGATATTTTCGTCATTTACTGTCAGTGGAGAATATCATCTCCAGTCCACTACTCATCCGAGCCGTTCTGATTTGCAAGACGATCGTTTCTATTATTCAGTTACAGAGGATGTGAGTATGGATATAATATTCATCTTACACCTCCACTCACCCACACCCCCACCCAATATAGTGCGTAGGTGGGTGGGTGTGGGTGTGGGTGTGGGTGTGTAAGTTAGAATGTGAGTTTGGCTAGCTGTGTTTCCTTTATACACCTACACTCACACCCTCAAGATAGTATTTGTTATTTTACTGACTGTGTATTTTGTAGTTAAATAAAGTATAAAGTGAATAGATTTTTTAGAAGATGTCGTTTTATTACTAAAATGTAACGAGCATGTTCTTTTGTCAACATATTCTCTCATTAAAAAGAACAAACAAAAAAAAAAATCGCTTTTGAATACCTTCAGCAGTCGAAAAAAAAACATTAGTCGCCTTTTTTGAATATATTACTACATTACTGAAACAGAACGAGTAGGTTCTTTGTCAACATATTCTCTCATTGAAAAAGAACAAACAAAAAAAATCATTTTTAATACGTTCGGCAGTCGAAAAAATAAACGTTAGTCGCCTTTTTTGAATATATTACTACATTACTAAAACAGAATGAGTAGGTTCTTCTGCCAACATATTCTCTCATACAAAAAGAACGAATAAAGAAATCATTTTTTAATACGTACGACAGTCGAAAAAAAGGTAAAAGTTAGTCGTTTTTTCGAATATATTAATTCAGTACCAAAACAGAACGAGTAGACTCTTTTGCCATTATATAAGTGTGTGATAATATAGAAACTAGAAAGTATTTACGTGGAAAAGTGTTCTTGGTGCATGGCGAATACTATAACTACAGTTGTGCAATATCGAGATTCATGTACAGGAAACTGGCTGAGTAAAGCCCAGACATTCGGATCTGCGACGGGACTAGACGACATCAACCAGTGGATCTTGCAATGGTGGCCCGGCGATCCTCACATTAATCTTGAAATCAAAGATGCACATGGTGATTTCGTTGAGTTCAATGATGATTATATAGAAGAATTCTGTCCTTTCGCCGTATGCGAACAAACACAGAACGATGGTTCACAATCCATCGAGCCTAAAACTCATCGTGTTATTTACCTGCGCATTACAAGCATGAGTGGTAAAGTATGGTTCACTTAATCAATTTTGTGTTACTTGTATTGATTTAGATGACGCTGACCGTTTGCTGATGAATGATTCTGAACAAACTTTAAAGTCAACACCTTCTACTATCTTACATCAGCAACAGGAGAAACATGAGGTAACATAAAAAATGCTTCGTTCCGTTTTTTGTACTGTTACAGCGCCAAAGTCGATCTTAGACTAAATTCAAAGTAACTGTAAGCTGGTATCTCTCCTATACATTCTTGTTTGCGGTGGCCTAGCATATCCATTTCATATATACTTTTCAATTTATAATTAACTTGTCGGAAACTTGCAATTACTATCAAAAGTAGAAACGGAGACGACGGAACAAAATAGCAGCAATGGAAATAGTCTCGTAAAGTTCTCCTTCCCTTCTCGTAGGTTCTCAAAGTTGCTTTACCAGAAAGATTGAAACCTTTCGCGCATATAGGTTCCAGGGGCGGCGCGAGCGGGGGGGGGGGG